GGCTAGACCAGAGGATGTACACTGGTGCAGATAGGAACTGGAAACACAGGGAATCCAGGACAGATGAACCCCTCAGGACCAGTGGTGAAAGTGGTGATACTGGGAGGATGGAGGGAAGGTAGGGTAGAAAGAGGAAACCGATCACAAGAATCTACATATAACTTCTTCCCTGGGGGTTGGACAACAGAAAAGTGGGTGAAGGGAGACGACTGACAGTGTAAGATATGACAAGATAACAATTTATAAATTATCAAGGGTTCATGAAGGAGGGGAGAGCAGGGAGGGAGGGGGGAAAATGAAGAGCTGACTGCAAGGGCTCAAGTGGAAAGCAAATGTTTTGAGAATGATGATGGCAACAACTGTACAAATGTGCTGGATTCTGTCTCCTAGCAACCCTGCAGGAGCTCCTACAACTGCTCTTCTGCATGGCTGAAGCTGAAAATCTTCACAGGAGCAAGCAGACTAGCCTTCCTCCCAAAGACTGGCTGGTGGTTTCAAACCGCTGACATTTGGGTTCGCAGCCCAATGGGTAACCCACTTCCCCACCCTCATTGCTTGGGGAGCCCATTTTGGGTCTTGCAATGGAGAGATTTTTAAATGTGGGATTAATTAACTAGGTGTTAGGGTATCGTGAGGTGACAAACCAAGGAATTTTCATGCTGGGGCTGGGGACCAAAGTGGAAGGCTGGCATTATCAGGGCCTAGAAGCTTGAAAGGGCACTGTCGGGCACTGGAACTCAGGCTTTGGCAGAGAACATGATGTATGGCCGACGCTGGCATACCATGAAAGCCAGGGACAAGAGCTGACTCCACCACCATCAGAGGTGAAGAGGACTCGTGGGGGAGGGTGACTGGAACTGGCAGTGACCACAGAAGGAAGTGCCTTCCCCACCCTCTGCGTCTGGGAGATGAAGTCCTCTACAAGAGCAGTCAACTGGCTGCGAAGCATAAGAACTGATTGCTTGAAAGTTGGTTTTATTGTTCAAAGGGGTTTTGGAATTCCTAAGGAGGTTCCTAGGAAGCAAACCAAGGCTTCGTGTTCCTGTGAAGACTGGCATCCTCGGAGACCCAAGGGGCAGTCCCCTCTGGCCTGCAGGATCTTGAGAAGTCAGAATCCACTTTATGGCTGTGACTGGGTGACGCGGTTCCGTAAGAGCCTGTGGCCAGGCACTCGTAATAACCCCCAAAGAAAGCAAATTCTGTTACATCCTTTACAGAAAATAGATGGTAAAAAGTCAAAATCCTTTTAGGTTCTACGATGAAATGCTATTATGAACTACAGGCGGATGTCTTCCATTCTCAAAGGAACAGTAAGTAAAACAAGGTTGGCCGTCGTAAACCTTTCAGAGAAGAAATTGAGCTGTGAATTCATTGATCGACAAACTGATGGCTAGGCAGATACGTTACCAAAAATTGTCTGAACAGTGGCCATATGAATGAATGAATCCCACCCTTGCTTTCTGAGTCGACTCATTGTGGGAAATCTCGACAACACTAATTATAAGTATTTAGGGCGCAAAGGTCAGAACACATTGAGAAAAACCCTAAATAGGAAAACTATGGGGAGATGGGTGAAATCTCAAGCTTATTGATCTGGGGTGAGGGGAAAGATTTTTTTAAAATAATGCCAATCTGGGTGTTCAGAATTTAAGTAGAATTAAACACATAACAATATGCCATATTAACGGGATACTTTTTAAAAGCAATCACTTCTTCAGACAGAAGAACTTGGGGACGGGAAAACATGCAATCTCAATCATGTTGAAAGCACGCATATCCGACGTTGATATTTTCAGAGCTTAAGAAAGTGCAGCTATAGCTCAACCCTCAAAGGCCAGCAGCTTAAGTTGCGGAAGCCCAAATGGCTTTCCCCCTGACTACGGAACATGGCATTAGACATTAGCCAATCAGATCTGTGAGAGGCAGTAAGGGCGTAAAAATTGAAGTAAAAATTGAAACGAACATTTTTAGTTATTGGAAACCCCCAAAATAACCACTGGAGTAAACTGCAACAAGAAATCCAATTATTTCTCAAGATGACAGCTTGTGAAATCAATATACGGCCATGAATGATTTTCATATATTAAAATAGAGAAAGCATAATAAACAGAAGGTGATGTTTGTGATGGCAAATGCCTTCTCATGAAATTTGGGAAGAACTATCCAGAAACCACATGAGAATAAAAACTAAAATGTTCCTGAGAGACCCGATTTGCTACAAAGCAAAACTGGAATAAAAGCGAGGCGTGCCCACAAGACAGACAGAGCATGGGGAAGACATTTGGAGCCTTTCCGAAGGGGCTCCAAGAAAGTACCTACTCCCTACCCCCAGAAGAGCCAGCACTATGTGAGTGGAAAAAGGAAAGAAGCCAAGGCGCTCCCAAAGCGGTGCCAAAGATTTCCTTTCCAAAGCCTACAAGCGTTGCTTGGCTACCACATTGAATTCTGTAGGGACCCCATTTGCTTCTAATTATCAAATGACAGTGAGCACCATACTCTGTTGGAATGCAGAACGGCCATGCAGGACTCCTCTGTCTGATACACTCTGTTATGTCCGTTTGTCTTTTGCATGTCGGAATGGGGAACGTATGGGAATCCCTGCTATCTCTTTTATTTTGCCTCATCTCTTGCCTCTTAAATTCTCATTTATGTTTTGCTAGCTTGTTTCTAAATGCTCTTTTCTGTATGCAGTTGACCACAGTATCTGTAAGAAATAAGGAAATAAGACACTGATTTATTATTTGATTTTACTTGCGGATTATCCACCGAAAAACCAACCCTCCTGACTGACATCCAGTCATTTCTGGCTCATAGCCACCCTTTAGGAAAGAGTAGAGCTGTCTTACAGGGTTTATGAAGCTGGACTCTACAGAAGCAGACTGCGCTTCTTCTCCCTCAGAGTAACTGGTAGGTTGGAACCACTAGCTTTGGAAGTAACCATCTAGTCCCACTGCCCACTAGGGCTCCCTGTATTATAGTATCCCCAAATCTCAGAACTAAAGGGACCCTGGAAATCTCTAGTCCACCCTCTTGACTGCAGAGACTTGAACAAAACTCCAAGACACCTATTTACTTTCCATGGGTTCCAAGGAAGATTGACAATGAATCCAATGCCTTGTTTGGCTTGACTCTGTTCGCACATGTCAGACAGGACCCTTTGCTATTCGTGCAAATGACGAGCACATACTTCAATGCCATTGTTCTTGTAGTGGTTGCTATGAAGTCATTCACGGCAACACTGTATGTGCAGATTTGACCTGTGCTGGGGTGCTCGGCGGAAGGGTGGGGGGAGGAGTTCAGAAGCACTAGATGTGCACCAACAGCCCATCTTTCCAACCCTCCAGCTAGTGGAAGAGGCTGTCATCATTTGTGCCACCCAGGGACTCCCAGGCATGGATCCAGTCGCTAGGTCACTGATGTCGACCGCAAGACTGGAGTATAAGAAGTGAAACAAATGTGTGATGAACAACAGGCTGTGTGCCTGTGCCTAGAGATATCCCAGTGTCCTCTTGTTCCACCAGGGGCCACGCCGAGCAGGAGGTGGCTCTTCTAGGGAGAAGAAAACTGGCCAAAGAAAAGGACGCTGCTGGATTCACGGTGCCTGATTAAAAACAGGAAAGGGTGATTGCAGTGGACGCTGTCATAACCAGAGACTGCGGAGATGCTGAAGGCCACCCCAGTGGCGGCAGCCGCCTCAGTGCCTTCTTCTGTCACTGCCACAAAGGACCTGTGCAGGAACTTCTGGGCGTGTAGCCTGGAGCTGGCAGACATGCCAGAGTAGTCGGCCTGGAGCTCACTGAAGGCGTCCTCCAGCCCCATGGCTCCCAGAGGCTCCTCCAGATTGTAGGTGTTCTCCACCTCAAAGCGGGGCAGGTGCAGGCTGACCTTGCGCTCCTCTAGGTGCCCTGGGTTCGTCCACTCCACCAACTGCTCCGGACTTACTTGGTCTACAATCTAGGTTTAAAACAAAAGAGAGGCCAGCTGATGTGGTTGTCAGCAAAAACATGAAATCACATAATGCTGAATTGCATCTGCCAGAAATGCGTCTCTTTAACTCAGGGATGCCCAGTCGGTGGATCCACGATGTCATCAAGCCAGCTGACTGCACACTTCACCAAAGGGAAGCAGATGCAGTCATCACAGGGAGGGTAAGCTAATCAAATGTTTGACCAAATACTGAAGGCTAAGGTGGGGTGCTTTAACCTGTTGTTAGGTGCTCTTCCAGATATTATTATAATCCATAGTTCCATTAGATCAAGTATAATTGTACAATTGCTGTCATCATCATTTTCAATACATTTTCTACCTTTTTGAACTCTGATATCAGCCCCCCTTTATGCCCCGCCTCCCCAACCCTACTACCCCCATGGACCCTTAGTATATTATATACATACATAGAGAGAGATTGCCATGCTTACACTCTCCAATGTACCCATTCACCTATAATTCTGCTGTTCATTCCCCTCAAGTGATGTTATACACTCATCATGCTGTCAGTCCTGCCTTCCCTCTTCCTTCCCCTCTCTTCCTATGCGCTCAGGGAATCATTACTCCCATTGCTATTTCTGAGGGCTTTATCTATCTTGGATTTCATACATCAAAAGATCTAGAATGTACAAGTGTACATGCGCAGTCTAGCAAGATTAGTGAGGCAAAACTAAGGCCATAATAGTGGGGGGAGGAAATATTAAAGAACGAGAGGATCGTTAGGTGGTTCATCAGTGCTCTACTGCACCCTGGATATGTTATCCCTTCTCTGAGGGACTGTCCAATTATCTTACAGGTGGATTTTGGGTCTCCACTTTGTCCACGCTCCTTCACTTCAATATGATTACTTGTATTTTTTAATTTATGATACCTGTTCCCAAGGACACCTCATGATCACACAGGTTAGTGAGCTTCTTCCATATGGGCTTTGTTGTTTCCCTGCTAAATGGCCGTTTGTTTAACTTCACGCTTTTAAGACCCCAGACGCTGTATCTTTTGATAGCCAGGCACCATCAGCTTTATTCATCACATTTGCTTATGTACCCATTGTGTCAGGGAGGTGAGTATCATACCTTGCCACAATATTAGAACAAATTGTTTCAAGTTGATCATTTTGTATGACCCACGAACGATGCTATAGATATCCCAGTGGCCCTGAAGAAGAGGGTCCCTGCCCCTGCTTTCAATAGTGAATAAAAGTAGGAGCTTTATTTCACTGCACTGTCGTTTGACATCGCAGGTGGTTATCCTATGTGGTTCTCTGTGTAAGTGTTCTGTGTGTAGGAAACCCCAGTAGCATTGGAGGAATTTTAGTGATAGGAAACAGACTGTTTCTTATTCTACCAATCTAAAGACATCATTTGATGTTTATTGCTGTGTTGGGGTTTTTGTTTTGCAAATGACATGCCCATGTGAACACTGTGTACATACATAGCACATACATGTGCACAGCATGAGCAGAAAACTAATGGTGCAAGGGATGGTCTGCAGTTTGCAAATGCCACATAACATGTGCCTTATCTGTGTAAAACTATGATCTCTCGCTCTCGCTCTTTCTCTCTATCCCTCTCTCCTATTCTCCCTCTCTTTTTCCTCTTTATGTACATTTATTTTTATCATTAAAAAAACTGCAGTTTTTACAAAAATATCCCCATTTGGAAGGAAAAGATATCTGTTAAGTACAAAATATAGTTTTTATCATTCAAAACTGTATACAATTTTTAAAAACAACAAAAATCACCTTCAGCCCACGTATTTTTTTAGCTGCAGAATCCTCCGGGAAAGCAGGGCTCGGTGCTCTGAAGAGGGTGATGAACAGACTGTGTCTAGAGAGACTTTGGCTGTCATTGCAATCACCATGAATGACCAGTCTTACTTGATGTCACTTTTTCACTCGACTGCAGACCTCTCCTAAAGGTCTTTCAACTGGCAAGTGATACTGCCATCAAGGTGACTTGCACTTCACCCATATTGGTCCATTCATTCATGTGACCAATGCCCAGTGCCTGCCAGGGACTATGACAGCTTCCCATTACATGCTACAGAAACAAGAAGCACAATGTCTGAGCCCCTGCACTTAAAACCAGGTGCCCTATTGTACCTAATACTGGAATCACCCATTGAGCTTAGAAAAGTCTTTTCTTTTTGTGTATGAATCATTTCTTTAGGATAATTCCCCAAATTGGGTGGTTGGGGTCAAAGGTCTAAATACTCTGAAAGCTCTTATACTGGTGGACATGGTTGTCATTTCATCGTCCCCAAATTGTTTCCAATATTTTGGAATCCAGTAAGAATACAGCATCCAATGAAGGACACAACAGCTATCATTTATTGAACCCACTATGTGTCTCTGACCTGTTAGAGACTGTAAACACACACACACTACTTCTTATCATTGAACAATACAACCTATGAACCACGATGGAGCCCATTTTTATAAAAGAAAAGAGACTGGGGTTCCTAGATGTTCAGGAGCTCCAAAGGATGAACAGCTCCCAAGCAGAAAGGAAATTTGAAACAAAACTCCCTGATTTCATAAGCACGGTACAGTAGCCACATTAATATTGTAATGGCAAAGTGGCTCACTTAATCTGGGCTTCAAACAGAGAACTGAAGAAATAAGTTCAGGAGGCTCATGAGTCCAGTGAACAGAATGTAAAATTTGCTGTAATTTTCCTTTCTCTCTCTCTCTCTCTCTCTCTCTCTCTCTCTCTCTCTCTTTTAAATGGATATGGACCATCCATCCCTCAAAATGGTCAGTGGTCCTTAAAACGCCTACGTGATCTTAAGTTCATCTGAAATATTTTTGGTATTGCTTCTTCTCCAGGAGCCTGATACCATGCAATTCTCATCCTGGGGAGCTGCCGCACCTGAGAAGAGTTTCCGCGCATCTCTGCCAGGCAGCAGCTCCCACGTGAAAACCCAGTCACTAGACTCACCCAGGACCAGCCTTGCGACACAAAGTTCCAGGGAAGAAAAGCAGGTCTGGGGAGAGGAAGGCTCACCTTCTGCAGCCCATCGATGGCATCTGGCAGCAGCACAAACATGCACAGGTCGTTGTTCTTGTATGGAATCCCCAGAAGTTTGGCCTGCAGGTCCTCCAGGGAGGCGAAGGGGAAGGAGTGGCACAGCTTCATCATCAGCACAGGTTTGCTCGTGCTCTGCAACACACGGCAGGCCGCCCAGAGGTCAGCGGGGGCTCCCCACCACCAAGCAGGCACCCCCAAAGAAGGAGCTCCCCCTGAAGTCGCCCACAAGGCAAGACCTTCAAGAATCAGCAGGTCTTAGCTTCCAGCAGGAAGGGTCTCTTGTTCTAGGCTCTCTAAGTTGCGGCCATTGTTCTTGGTTGTTAATGGCTGTGGTGGTTCAGAGATAAAAGTCTTTCCCTCCGTGCCAGGGGCTTGGCTTCAATCACCGCGCCTCCTGCTCGGCCACCACCCATCTGGAAGGGGAGGTTGGTGTGTTGAGAGGGTGCCGGATAAGTGTCGGCAGAGTTTCCGGACTAAAAATCACTAAGAAGCAAGGCCTAGCAATCTCTTTCTGAAATTAAGCCAACAAAAAACCTGCGGGGAGGACCCAGGACCGGGGCTGTTTCCTTTCACAGCGGATGGCGTGGCCAAGCGTGGGGGTCCAGCCCCGTGGCCGCCAACAGCAGCACGGCAGCTATACTTTTGACGGAGCACAGTCTAGCTTCTCCACCCGGCTGTCCGCACGGCACTGAATAAAGAAGGACCGTACCTTATTCAGCCAGAATTGTTCCTCCTGGGTGTCTTCTTTCTTAAAGCCCTGGGCCCACTGCCCTCTGAAGTACACCGCGTTCACCAGCACCAGCCTGGTCGAGCTGCCCAGGGAGCCAGCTGGAAACTGGTCCTTGACTTTTTCTGCCAATGGGATGACAACAACTAACATTTGTGGTGTCTTCAAACGACCAGGGACGCGCAGGGCAGGTGCAGAGCATCCGCAGTGATCTCTGACTGCTCCGCCAGGTCAGTGTATACCGGCCTGGCTGACCAAGGGCGTGCTGGCAGAACTGGTACCCAAGTGTCTCCCTCCATCTGGCACTCAGCGCGTGGAGAGCAGAGTGTGTGGTGGGCAAGAGGTGGGGCTCTGGGGTCACAGCACCTCTACCAGCCTCCAGAAGTGCCTTTTAGCGGGTAAGGGATTCGACCCCAGTTCCTGAAGCTCTCTGTGCCTCAGTTTCCACACTGTAAAGTAGGACTAAAACCTGCCTCCCTCATAGAGTTGTCGGATGGAATGACTGGTTTCAGGCACCAAGCCTAGTACACACCCAGACCAACTGCCGTTGAGTTGATTTTGACTCACGACAATCCTGTAGAAGGTTCTCGAGGCTGTAAAGCTTTCCATGACCAGACGGCCTCTTCTTTTCCCTGCAGAGCAGCTGGTGAGTTTGAAACATTAACTTTGCGATTTACAACCCAGTATTTAACCTACTAAGACTCCTTTAACAAGTACACGGTGAGGGTTGGTATAATTCTTACCCATTCTAGAGAGTCACTACTGGATATTTTTAAAAATTAAAGAATGAAACTAAACTCACTATCAGTGAGTCAATTGTGACGCAGAGAGACCCAATAGGGCAGAGTAGAACTGCCACTTTGGGTTTCTGAAGCTGTAGCTCTTTACAGAAGTAGACAGCGCCTCTTTCTCCCATGAAGCAGCTGGGAGTTTCGACGGGCTGACCGTGTGAGCTGTTCGACTCTGCCACCGGGGAAGAAACTGGCTTTCTCGTGACTAGTGTCTTCAGCCCATCTCACGCCACATATTGAAGACCACTCCACCTTCCGTCCACTCTTTGCTAGAGCCCTGTTTTTCTCATCTTCTTTTCACTGATTTATATATTTTTTTTTGCCTTGGGATAAGCATTCCTTTCCATTCATTCTGAAATAACAGACATTGCCAGGACAACTGGAATTAAAAAGGTAATCTGAAATTCGGACACTAAGCTATCAACTATTGCTCCCCAGAAGGCATCTACTTGTCAACATTCTTTTCTGATACTTAGTTTGTGTGAGGTTCACGCTAGGGGACAAAAGGGGGCCGGGGTGAGGTGGGGGGTTGAGCGCTTTGTCAAGCTCTCTGCTGTGAATGAGCATAAATATTGTCCTATCCCTGAAAGACCGGCCCCGGTGGCCCTGGGGCAAGGAGTGGCAAAGGTGGTCTTGATGTGAACACTGCAGCTTTCCCCAGAACAAGGGTTCAGAGAGTAAGGTTCACCTACAAAAGAAAGGAAGAGAACCCCAGACAGGCCTGCACCCAGATTGAGCAGCCACAAGCTACTAGGACCCACCATCATGTACCAAGAACTCTCTGCTATTTCCATGTGCTTGGCTTCCTGGGATGCCCACCCTGGCTCCCTTTGGGTCTCTGCACGTTTAGGCAGACCACTCCATTAAACCATCTGAGTTGCCTTCCCTCTGCACTCTTCCTTCCCAGCAAAACCCATCTGGAGCCCCCTCCCACAGCTTTTCCACCCTGGCATCCCATGCAGCTCCGGCGCAGGGTTTTACTCACAGCAGGTACTTAGGAAGTGTTCTAGGACTGAAAGACGCACTCATACTCTACCATGTGTCTCTCTTTCCACCCAGGAATTAATCTTCTTTCGACTGTCATCTGCTGCATTCACAAAATCCACAGGTTCCAGAGAAGCGTGGTAGTATTTTTCAACATAATCTAAGTATTTCTTTAAGAGAAGCAGGAAAGGAAGGGTGGAAAAGTCAGTGTATCAATTGCCAGCGTCTTAAATAAAGGTGCCTTACATCAGTGTGACTAATGGCATAAGCAGGGACTCAGAGCCCGAGCACATCCCCTGGAGTGTCCCATGCACATTTTTAGAACGTGGCTAAGGCAGAGATCAGGTGCAAGTCCACAGGAGAGAAACAAACCAAAGGGTCTGTTGCAGGGTAGTAGGGACAGACGCCAGGAATGTGGGCGGAGTGGGTGCCCACTGTGGGCAGCCTATCTCCAGGACCCTCTGTCTTAACCGAGCCATTGACAAATACAGCTCATGGACATAGCTGACACCACAAAACTTACCTGAAGAAAGAGGTATGTCTTCTCTCCAAATAGCCTGTTGGCAATGTTCAACTCATAGCCATCAGTGGGCTGGTTTATCTCAGTTAAAACCTTTTGTAATTGCAGATGTATCATTTCTGTCTTCTCGTTCTTAAAAACCAAAACAGAGACTCAGTGGGTTATCCTGACCAAACAAAGCTTGAGTTGTTCCCCAGATGGACATGGCTGCTGGACCTAAACACCTTGGTTCGATAGCTTCCTCGTGCAGCCCCCAGATGTCAGGCGGCATTTATGCAACTCGTGTGATTGTGGACGTTCAAGGTAGATTGCACTCCACAGAGAAGTCTTCTCTGCCGGCCCACATCAGACAACTTCCTTCTCTGACTCACGTCCCAGTTTTGATCTCACACATAAATTAACTTGTAAAGGTTCCACCAGCCTTTTTTTTTTTTTTGCTCCTCACAAGACTTGAAGCTCTTGAGAAGTGCCATGATGCCCCAGATCATTCTTAGCCACTGTGGGGCTGGGAAATGTCTATTCGAGACAAGGGATGAGAAAAGTGCCTTCTGCTGGTGTCAAGGGCCTGTTCCCACCGCTGCACTGTGAGACAAAGTACATTTCACCCATGTCGCTGAGGAAAGAACCTCTACGCATTCTTCTCCACACTCTCCTGTGGGATCCAAGAGCTTCCTGACGAGGATGGAGAAGCACTCCTCGGCTAACCCCGCTGACCCGGGCCACTCCCCTGAAACAGAGGAACTGGTGCGTGGTGGGAAAGGGAGAGGCAGCTTAGTTTTCAATGGAGCATCTACTCTTATCGCACCCGACAACTCAAAGGCCTTCTCCCTCCAGAGTAAGGAAGGACCCAGGGGCTTACTTGCCTGTTTCTTTTATCTCTATTTCCCACGGGTTGCCCAGGACCTAGACTTGTTCCTGGTACATAACCGATACTCACTTGCTCTTCTGAGTGATTAATACACACTTGAAGACCTGCCCACGCAAAGTGTAGAAGTCTGCCGCTTGAGCACAATGTCTGAGGCTGACTCTGACCTTGGAGCTGCCTTGCTCTTGTGAGCTCTGACTGGCTTGTGATGAGTCAATATCTACTCAGGCTGACGAGGATAGGAGGGGTGTGAATCAAAATGGGAGAGCCTTTGGGAGCAATAACTGATATAAAGAGAAGGATGCGATGAGATTATACCTCCACTGGGTCAGTTGAGACTGAGTTGGCCAACAAATGGAAAAAGGGGGGCGGAGGGAAGGTCTGTCGACAAACGATTTGGGGTCTGCATGACATCTCTGTAGTCTGAGACACTCCAAGGAAGCTTAGAAATATGAAGTGATCCTAGAATGGTAACACTTTAGGAACTTATTCCAGAAAATAAATGTTCTTTATTAGAAAGGTTTCTCTGGAGTTCCATAGATTATCAGCCAAATAGGAGTTAAGTTCTGGACATCACAAACATGAGAAAACAAACTCCATATTATGAATCAAGAAAGAAAAAAACGCAAACATTATATTAGACCTACATGGAATGTAAATGTTGGTATTATTCGTATCACACTTTTAAGTCAGTATATTGAGAATATTAATAGAAAATGATTAAATAGGATATTGAAAATATGGCTAAGAGACAAACTACTGCCAGCAACGATCAGGTAGGTTTAGTGATCAACTGTGATCTTCTAGATGCAAAATAATATAAGTATTTAAATTTAAAATTCAATAGCTGGATAAACAGTAAATTACCTCCTGCTATTAAGTCCATTCTGACTCACAGCACAGCAATGTAGGGTTTCTAAGGCTGTATCTTTATGAGAGCAGATAGCTTCATCTTTCTCCCATGAAGCAGCTGGTGGATTTGAACTGCCAACACTTACCCAACAGCACCAACCAAGCTCCTAGAAAGTAGATTAGACACTGCCAGATAAATGAATTGATCTAGATCTGGACAATTTTTCTAGAACGTGGCACCAAAAATAATAATTTAAAATATGCCAAACAAGTGAGTGAATCTAGGAAATAACTTTAAAATTCCACCCATCTTTGCAAAGGGCAAGAGAAGAAGTAAGAAGGGGAAAATGCATTACTCACAAAACCAAGTGACTGAGACTTTTCCAGAATTGATGACACCTATGGGTTTTCATCACTGATAGCCATCAAGTTGATTCTGACTCATAGCAGCCTGGGAAGGTTTCCAGGCTATAAATCTTTGTGGGAGCAGACCCTCTGGTCTTTCTCCAAAAGAATGACTGGTGTGTTTGAATCATCGACCCTGAGCACCTGGGTAACAATCCAACACTTCCTAGCTAGCACCACCCAGGCTCCCCATGCTATCATTAATCACTTCCAGTGCATGGGAAAGCTGGACACCAGGTAGGGAAGGCCGAAGGTGAATTAATCCATTTGGATTATAGCATTGACAAAGAATGTCAAAAATACCACAGACTATGTAAAGGACAAACAAATCTGTGTTGGAAGAAGTACAGCCAGAATGTCCCATAGAAGCAAGGAAGAATGCCCGGTAGAAGCAAGGAGGTAAGACGTTGTCTTGTGTACTTTAATCACATTGTCAGGAGAGGGTCTCCAGTCCCTGGAGAAGGGCATCGTGCTTGTTAAAGTAGAGGGGCAGTGAAAAAAAAGAAGACTCTTGTGGTGGTTACATAATTCCATGTCAACTTGAAGATATATAAAATGTAGGGGTGGAGTTCAGCCTGTCAATCAGGTCACAGCCCGATGGTGCCTGTTGTCACTGTGGCTTTCTCATAAAGAGTGTTCTGGGAGCCTCCCCACCCTCTCTCTGCCTTCACCTTCCTGCTGGCTGACCCTGATTGCTGCCAGTGCCATCACCATTGGATCCATAAGACTTTGCGCCCACCAGCCTGTGATCTTCCTGCATTCTGCATCATTGCATGCAGAATGAAGAGGGACTTATGGACTAGTATCAGACTTAGGGACTTGAGTTGGACTGGACTGAGATGTTATCTCGATATATAATTAGTTCTTTAGATAAAGCTCTTTCTTGCACGTATGTGAGTGTCACTGAATTTGCTTCTTTAGTGAACCTGGCCTAACACAATCCTCAAAGAAGTGGATGGAGGCAGTGGCTAAAACAATGAGTTAAAACATAGCAACGATTGTGAGGATGGTGCAGATGGAGCAGTGTTTCATTCTGCTGTGCACAAAATCACTATGAGTCAGAACTGGTTTCACTACAGCTAACAACAGCAACGATAAATTTTTATATTAAAAACATACAGTAAATCAAGGTTACAATTAAAAAAAAGAGCTGCCCCTCTGAACATATCATAGTAAAATTCAGGGGTAACAAAAACAAAGTGCTAACATTAAATGTAGTCAGAAAGTGGGTGAAGGGAGACATCAGACAGAGTAAGACATGGCAAAATAATAGTAATTTATAAATTATCAAGGGTTCGTGAGGGAGGGAGGGTGGGGAAGGAAGGGATGAAAAATAAGGAGCTGATACCAAGGGCTCAAGTAGAAAGAAAATGTGTTGAGAATGATGATGGCAACAACCATACAAATGTGCTTGACATATGGATGGATGCGTGGATTGTGATGAGTTGTATGAGCCCCCAATAAAATGATTTTTTTTAAAACTCTTAGAATAACAATTAAAAACGCAACAAAAAGATTACCAAGCCCAAACAAACAAAAAAAGTGTTCAAAATATCAGATAAAGATATGCCAGGAACAGATAGGAACTGAAAATACAGGGAATCCAGTAGGACCAGTGGTGTGAGTGCCAAAACAGGGAGGGTAAAGGGAGAATGGGTAGGAAAGAGGGAACCGATTACATGGAACTTTGTGTGACCTCCTCCCTGGGGGACAGACAACCGAAAAGTGGGTGAAGGGAGACATCGGACAGGGCAAGATATGACAAAATACCCATTTATAAACTATCAAGGGCTCATGAGGGAGGGGGGAGCGGGGAGGGAGGGGAAAAATGAGGACCTAATGTCGGGGGTTTGAGCAGAGAGAAAATGTTTTGGGAAACGATGTGCAAATGCGCTTTACACAATTGATGTGTGTATGGATTGGGATGACAGTTGTATGAGCCCCTAATAAAATGTTTTTTAAAAATTTTTTAAAAAGATATGCCAGAAAAAGACAGCAATCAAAAGACTTGCACAGATATGTTTATACGCAACAAAAATGCTTGAATCCTAAAATATGACCAATATTGCAAAAACATTTACTTCACCAGAAAGATATAACATTTTAAAATGCAAGACACCAAGTAACATGACCTCAAAATAGACCAAGGGATAATGGGCAGATGTGTAAAAACAATCAAGGAATACTCAGAGTGGGAGATGTTCACTATCTCTCCTAACAATCAAGGTGACAAAATTATTGAAAGGAATATAGGAAGCTTGGTCAATAAATTAAGCAAGTTATACTTTAAGTGGTATATAGAAGCCTGCAAAGAACCATAAGAGAATATACATTCTTCTCAACCATCCAGAGAATAGTTATGAAAATTGATCCTATACTAGACCATACAGCAAGTGTTAACGACTTTCAAAGAATTAGTTCCTTCCAAAACATGTTCTTCACCACACATTCTTAAGTTAGAAATCAGTAATAAGATACCTAAAACAAAATATAGACAGATAATATCAGAAGCATTTTAAGGCCTCTCTAGATAAATGTTTGAAATGCACTTATATTTATTACTAAGGGGTATAGATATTACATATATTGTTACCAAAACAATTTGATAATATTGAATAAAGTTGATGGGACCCTAGTGGTTACATGCCTTGGGCTACAACCCCAAGGTCAGCCGTTCAAAACAACTAGCTGCTTTTCTGGAGAAGGACGAAGCTTTTTACTTCCATACAGAGTTGCCATCTTAGAAACCCTCTGGAGAAGTCCTACCCTGTCCTGTAGGGTCACCGTGAGTCACAATCCACTCAAGGGCAGTGAGTGGGGGAGTTAATAAAGTCAAAGAGCTTACCTCTCAGACAGAACTTTAGACTCGTCCTCTCCATAGTAAAAGCAGGTGAGCAACATGTATAATCTTAAGTTTCCTAGTAACTCCATCTTAATAATAGATGAAATTAGGCTTAGTAATTGAAATCTACTAACAGCACATCTCAATTTGAACTAATTCCAATCCAAATGTTCAAAAGGCACTTGAAGAACTACCATGCTGAATAGCTCCTGGCTAAAGAAGCACTCTTTCAGATCAACTCAGAGGCTTGAATTAGAAGAGTCGTTTTATATACAGCCATGGGAATCAAACCAGCTTAGTATTGGTACAAGGATGGATATGCAGACCAATGGATTTGAATAGTGTATCCGGAAATACAACCAAGCCCCTACAGACACCTGGTTATTTTATAAAGGACAAAAACACATTCCATGGGGAAGGGATAGCCTTTTCAATAAATGATGCTAGGGAAGCAACTAAGCCCACATGGAAGAAGCACACCAACCCGTATGATCATAAGGTGTTGATGGGATCAGGTATCAGGCATCAGAAGACCCAAAGCAAACAACCATTTCTATTCAAACGAGGGGAGTCGGAATGGAGACCCAAAGCGCATCTGTAGACAATTGAACATCCCCTCACAGAAGGGTCACAAGGAAGGGACGAGCCAGCCAGAGTGCAGTGTAGCACCGATGAAACACACAACATTCCTCTAGTTCTTTAATGCTTCTTCCCCATGGGCAACCCCCACACCACCACCACTATCATAACCCCAGCTCTATCTTACAAATCTGGCTAGACCAGAGTATGTACACTGGTACAGATTAGAGCTCTTGACACACAAAATCCATGATAGATAAACCCCTCAGGGTCAATAATGAGAGTAGCGATACCATGAGGGTAGGGGGAAGGTGGGGAAGAAAGTGGGAACTGATCGATTGATGTTCAACAATGATTGATGTTCAACACCTCCCCTCCTACAGCGGGGACAAACAACAGAAACGTGGGTGAAGGGAGACAGTGGATGGTTAAGATATGAAAATTAAAATAATTTATAAATTATCAAGGGTGCTCAAGGATTGGAGGATGGGGGAGGGGGGGAAAGAGGAGCTGATACCAAGGGTTCAAGTAGGGAAAAAAATGCTTTTGAAATGTTGATGGCAACATATGTACAAATGTGCTTGATACAATTGGTGTATGGATTATTATAAGAGCTGTAAGAGCCCCCAATAAAATGATTTATTAAAGTTTTTTTTAAAGTAACATGGTATGTGAATGCAAGAAGAAAAACAAAATAAAATAAATGATGCTAGAAAATTTGGATTTTCACCTGCAAAAGAATGAAACAGGACTCATACCTCACACCAGGTGCAAAAACAAACTGATGAATTAAAGACCTAATTCTAAAGCCTAGAGCCATGTGCTCATCACTGATAAAATAAGCACAAACCTCAGGGCTCTAATACAAGGCATAAATACACTATGAAGCATAACGAGCAGCATCAACACTGTGGAAGTCAAAAAGAGGACTAGGACCTTCCAAAATTATGACATTTATGTACATCCAAAGAATCAAAATAGAACCCCTAGATTGGATGGAAATAATTGGCAGTGATATATCAGATAAAGGGCTAATTTCAAAAATCTATTAAAAAAAACCTGCAACACATTGATAAGAAAAACACAAATAATCCGATCAAAAATGGATAAAAACAAGAACAGGCCATTTACTAAAGATGACGTTCAAGTGGCCAACAATCCTATGAAGAGATGCCGTTGGTCATTAGCTACAAGAAATAAAAGTTAAGACAGCGAGGAGACACCACTTCACAGTGACACTTTCAGTAGAAATTTGAAAACAAAATGACAAATGCTGGAGAAGCTGCAGACAGACAGGTTGGAACACTCATGGATTGCCGCTGGGATTGCAGACTCCTACAACCAACATGGAAAACAGAATGGAGCTTCCCCGAACAAATGCCGGCAGAAATCCCACATGTCCTCGCAGTCTCCCCACTTGGGATAGACTCCAAAGAACTACAGAACAAAGTACAAGCAGCTACATGCACACCCATGTTTGTCACAACAATGTCTGTAACAGCAAAAATATTGAAGCAACGAAAAACCCCAACTGTGAAGGTATAGATACACAAACTGTGGTGCATATACGCACAACAGAATGAATATTATGCATTTCTGAAAAACACTGGTACGACTGACACACACCATATGACATCGACAAAATTGTAAGACATTATGTCAAGCACAGGCAGTCAACTTCATAAAGATAAATATTTCATGATTACTTTAGTATACGGGATTATAAACAAGAAACAATGGTTTTCACATGAAAGGAAAAGACTTTGAAGGCTATGCTAAGCCTGGAAGACAAGGGGTGGGGAAAGGCAGAGTGGGGGGAGAGGGAGAGAAGGAGGGAGGTGAGGAGAAGAAGAAGAAAAAGCAAACAGGATGTAGAAGGAGGAGGAGCCCCATACTTCGGGGATTACTGGGCGACTGCTCCTGTCCTGATATGACAGGTCGTGCGACTGCGTCTAGTATGTTTTGCTTCATATGTGTTATACTAGGCAAACAGAAAGGAAAATAATTCATTCATTATAAAAGAGAGAGACGGGAGGGTCATTTCAGTTTTGTTTGTCATAGAAGGAAGGGAGAAAAAGAAGGGAGCAGGGAGAAGGTCCAAACACCTATCAACAGGATAAATGTAGGAACGTCTGTGAAAATGAACTAGAACTACAAGCATCCCTCAAAAAAGAGATCAATTTTGTCAACATAAACTTAAAAAATCAAATGCAAAAGAACATACTAACAAAGAAGTTGATGTGTACTCATATCAAAAGAATTCTAAGTATAAGAAAATAATGAATGCCTAATTGAGTATAATGGCATGTCCCCTCAGGAGAAAATGGGGTGTGGCCTAGGTGGGGACTGAGGGACCTCAGCTGATTGGATAATGGTTTGTTTTGCGCCCTGGGGGGAGCAGGCTAAAGGCACTGGTTGCCTAACTCCTTAGACTTTGTACATGCATGCTTCGATTTCATAATTGATTTATAAAGCCAGGTTCCGAATTCTTAGTGCATGTGATCATCAAATCTGCAGCGCATGTCTTGGGAACATCAAATCTGCAGCGCATGTCTTGGGAACATCAAATCTGCAGCGCATGTCTTGGGAACACTCACATTATTCACCTGTTTCCTGGTCTAGTAAAAGAGATTATGGCTGATGGGTACCAAGCCTTCCACCCAGGAGTGGGGCATCTGTCCAAGGACTGCGCCTTTTTCTGATGCTCACAGTGGCTGTGTGGCCTCCACGCTTGGGAGGGAGCCACTGCATTCTCAGAGGCTGGAGAACACAGTGGCTCTCAGACCAGAGCTGTGGTGCAAACCCTGGAAGGGACGCCTGGGGCTCCACGTGGGCAGCTGTGCCGCCCACAGTTGACCCCGCAGGATTATGAGACAGCCAGGGGATTGGAACGGTGATTTTAAGGGGAGCTGCTGAGGGCCTGGGCAGAGAGCTCCCACCTAGCCCTGGGGCTCAGCTCTGGCTCATGAACTCTACTCCCTTCTCCATTGGGAGCAGATCCTCATGCTGGTGAGGAATACGAGAATCCTCAACTGGAAGACATTCCAGGTCATTTTTCCTGCATTGATAATTCTTTATAAATATAGTAACAGTTGTGTGGGTGTGGGTGTGTGTGTTGTTTGGTAAAGGAAAGGATCAGTGAAAGAGATGAGGCTTTCTGCTCCCGGGAAGATTTACAGCCTCGGAAACCCAAAGGGGCAATTCTACTGTGTCCTCTCCAGTCTCTATGAATTGGAATCAACTCCACGGAGATGGGCACAGATAATAATCACTGTCACCAGCAGAGTCAACTAAGCTGCCGCTGACCACAAGGACACCTACCCCCATGGGGTGTGTTTCAGTGTGTTCAAGACAAACTAGTGTCTCTCCAGAAACACAGAGCGCATTTTCCAACTTGTTTAATGTAACACAGCTGCTAAGTGACTGAACTAGGATTTGGACAAAAATCTATGTAGCTCCCAAACCCATCTAACTCTAATGCTGCAGCTTCTCATGCAATTGAACTGGTACCAGTGGGCATCATAGTGGCCACCGCCCTTGCCAGCTGAAGGTAAAAACCAGTGGGCATCAAGTCAGTGCCAAGTCATTTTTTGAAAGGAGATCTCCAAGCCTTTCCTCCAAGCTACCTTCAGGTGGACCCAAACCCCCAACCTTTCATTAGCAGTCAAGTGTGTTAACTGTTCATAGCCCCCAAAGGCAGCGTCAGTTCTCACCACCGGCAACCCTGTGGGTCAGAGTGGTCCTGGGCCCCACGGGGTGTTCAGTGACTGATTTTTCTCAGCAATAGATTGAATAGTCCTCCTCTCGGTGGGCTGGAACCTCCAGCTTTGGGGTTAGTACATCCATGGCTCCTGGTGCTAGCCTCCCGCTGAACATTCAGAGTTTGTCATCAGTGTATAGCCTTAGCACTGTTCGGCCACAGCGATCATTGCAGCTTGGTAAGAGGAATGGAGAATTGCCTCTCCCCCGACATTTTGCCCAGGAAGCCCACATCTCAACAGCCAACCACACAGTTCAAGTTTTAAGATACGCTTCCCCACCTGTTCTTCAGCTGTTGCTCTTGGGTTTCCTGCGCCTTCTTCCTCAGAGTAAAACACCTGGAAGAAACATACTGTGTTATGGCTGCGGACAGAGCAGAGAACACTTCCCACAGAGCCCATGAGGGGACAGCAGACATGTGTTTCAGAAACCGCGATGGCATGTGTGTGTCTCTGGTCTCCCCTCGAAAAAGCATGAGGAGCCCTGAGCCAGCCACCGGTCTCTTCAGAGGAGCTGTGCAGATGTGCCCATTCATTCATTTAGCCATCTCCAGTGTGGTGGTAGAGTGAGGGAAGCATTGGGCTGCAAGTCTCAAGGTTGATGGTTGAAACCCACCAGTTGTTCCCAGGTGGAAAGCAGAGGCTGTTTGCTCCCATTCGGACTGGCAGTCTCAGAGCTAACAACCATGAGCATGAGAAGATCGTGTTCCGAAATCGATCGTGCTGATGACTGCACACGGCTTCTTAGGATGATGGGAACTGTGGGACAGGTGAAGTGCATGCCAATTATACTATTTCTTTTGAAAAAAAAGACTTAGCGTCTCTGATCCCTTAAATAGGGTCACTGTGTGGAGAATTTATTCAGGACAGTGGTTTGGTTTGTTGCTGATGCCTGGGTGTGATATGCGTACCCTCGTAGTGTAATTTGACATCGGTCAGTCCCAGCTCCTGGCAGCATCCTGTGGGCAGAGTAGGACTGCTCCAGAGGGTTTCCTTTTGCCAGGCCTGTCTTGCAAGGCACCTCTGGGTGGGTTTCAACTGTCAACCTCTCAGCTCATGGTTCAAGGTTTAACCATTTGTCCCCAACCAGGGCCTCTTGTGTGGGGATGATGTCGTCGCCTCTCCCAACAGTTTCTGCTGTTCCTGTTTTAGCTTTCTTTGTGAGGTTAATGGCTTGGACAGGGCCACTCCGCAGCCCCTGGACAAGGGACTTTCAGCATCCGGGAGCAGAGAACGTGAGGGCATCTGGGTAGGAAAAAGGCTCCTCGCAAGATGCTTCAGCCCTTGCCGTACTCAGTGTCCTGGCCCAGACCTAAAGCTGAGCGCTGTGGAGGTCATGCCAGAGGACCCTGGTGGAAAGATAGTCATGCAAAGCTGGCCTACCTGCTGCAGCTGGTGGGCAGTGCTCCCGCGGGTGCCCAGGAGGATCATGCCAATGGCCGTTGAGATGCCCACCGGAGAAAATAAGACATTGCCATCATTGGACTTCTTCAGTTCTTTGAAAAGGCCAAGCCCAAACCGAGCGTTTGCCGCCCCGAAGGAATCCATGATCGTCTCCGAGAAGTCTAGAACAGCAATAGCGACAGTCAAAGCAGCCAGGCCCTCCCCACGGCCCCTCCAAACTGCTCTGGGTGGGCGAGAGTGCCAGGGGCATGCAAACAGTGAACAAGCTAAGGTTTGTGGTCTGTGTGAGCCGAGAGGTACCTCGGAAGAAAGGCCTGGCCTTCTGCTTCCAAGAACCCAGCTATCGAAAACACAGGGGAGCACAAGTCTATGCTAACACCCCTGGGTCGCCACGAGTCAAAGTCGACGTGAGAGCAGCGGATGTTGGTGCTTCCATTTCATTTGCCATCGGGGGCTATCTTTGCTCTTCCCTTCCTCTTCCTACACTGATTCCAAAAGTGAAGACTTTTCACCCTCTCAGAGACCAAGTGCTGCCTCCTTCTCCTCGCCCCCTCTCTCAGACTGCCCTCCTGGAGGCGCATCTGGAGTCCAGTAACCTCAAAGGGTTCCCACTTCTCCTCTCCCCAGGGAGCAGGGCTGATGCCCCCATGGTTGTATTCGGTCTCTCACTCTGTCAGAACCTGCCTGCATTTGCTTAGCCCTCTGGCCGCCACCACCAGTGAGCTCCACACCCACCCACCCACCCCCACACCCCCATCTCTGTCCCTTGTCCTGGAATGTCCAGTTTGTCCAGCTGAGCTGCCTATGGCTGGCCAAGGGAGGGGAAGGAAGGCCCATTGACCTCAAGTCCAAGCAGTGCTTTGAGATGCAGCGTGAACAACTCAGAGACAGCATTTGTGCACTTGCCTGGTACTTTCTGTTGCTCAGTTGATTCTAAACCTAATGCAGAGGCGCCAGGAGCGATTCATTCTCTCGAGCCTCAATTCCTAACCACAACCACATGAACATCTTGCTTTGGGCTGAATTTTCCTTAAAGGGCAATGCCACAAGCCTGGCCAAGAATTACAGGTGGGGTGGAGTGGCACAAGGGGAGAAAGATTTTCTTTTTTATACGTTGCTGTATATGGTTAAAGGATTTCGCAATAAGTTTGTCTCTCTCTCTCTCTCTCTCTCTCTCTCTCTCTCTCTCTCTCTCTC